GAAAGATTGATAAAAAATATATCGGCTTAATCCCAAATGAATTTTCTTTTTATTTGTTTCGTAAATTGCTATACATTTGGTATAATATAGGATTTAAGCCATACTACTTATATATAAAGTGTAATAACTATTGGCCCAGTACTCGTCCCAATCTAGAATTTTGTACAAATATTAGGAAGTATATTGTCTATCTGTAAAAAAAAATACGAAAGAAAAAAAAGAGCAATTTTATCCTATAGCCATTTCCGGTTTTTGGTAATAGACTTAAATGGCTATTTTAGAGCTATTTAATAAGATTTAAATTGTGTTTTTAGCTTAATTACTTTTTGAGATATTTAAAATTAAATGTAGTGTATTTTGGAATTTTTGCGTTTCTAAAGATGGCCATATCTCATGAAGTAAGCCGATTTGAAAAGTAAAATTTTACATTTTTGATTAGTGTACAACACAAATTTTTTTAAAAATTGAAGGGCTTTTTTTGGGTGATTCCATTATAAAAAATGATAACAATTTGATAAATAAAAATTATCTTATTCTTTAGTTTATAATTTTTTAATATTGATACTATAGATAACCGCCAGTGCTCCCCTTTCAGTCGTTCAATAAATAATAATATTATCCACCAGGCTTATTAAATATTTACGATGATTAAGGCATGTTGAGATTTATCAACACCTCAACATAATGTTTAATTTATTGTGATTTACATACCGGTTTATACAGGAGCGGACTGGAGATGCTGCGGTATCATGTGCAAATTTTTACTAGGGGTCTCGTTTTTATGGGGAACTTCGCCCCCATATTCCCAATTTTGTGGCCGGGTCCCTTTTAATGGTTTTTCCATATTATACTTGGTTTTTATTATTTCTTATATTCTTGGACAAATACATATCTAAAAATGACGGGATATGCACTATATTATTGTTTTTACATTTTTATTAAAAGAACACTACCATTGTACAATAATAACATATTAACTTTAAAAAATACATATTTAAAAACATAATCTCAATTGCTCATATAAAATAGTATATATACATTTTAAATTATATTAAGTGCAAATTCAAAATTATTACACGTCCCGAGAATAAAACTTATTGTATATATAAAATTAGGAATATGCTAATATAGTTTCAAAATAGAATTTAAATAAATGAATTAAACGAATATTATATAATTTTTGATTTGGGTCCGCTGTCTCGAATATTAAAAAGTATCAAAAAGACAAATAAGCTAAAATGGCGACCAATATGGCCCCTAAAGGTTGAAGCGAGAGATTTTAAAATATAAAATTAAAACATGGCCGCCAATAAATTTCAATCGGTTATTACAAATGAGACAGATTTTATAATTTAAATTAATATTAAATTAATAACGAATTATTATAAATTTGTAATTTAATAAAGTAAATAATACAATTTAAATATTTATTAATTAATTGATATATAAAAAATTTAATATAATGTAATCAATATATTTAAATTTAATATAATAGTTAATATTAACATAGTTAGTATATATATATTGAATATAATTATTTATTTACATCATATATAAAATTTAATTATAATATATTTAAATATTTAATTAATTGATATATAAAATAATTAAATATATGATTGTTTGTAGTATTTAATATAATGTAATCAATATATTTAAATTTAATATAATAGTTAATATTATTAACATAGTTAGTATAATATATTTTATATATTAATTTAATTATATATTGAATATAATTTCATCATATATAAAATTTAATTATAATTATTTATAATATATTTAGAATATTGGTTTATATAATATATTGCTTTATGATTAATTGGTATATGTTAATTACTTAACTTACTAAGAAATCCCTAAATAAATTTTTTATCGTTGGATTTATACTTATTTATATAATTATCAGATTTCCTCACATCTTTTAATTTTTTTGAGATACATACTATTAGTATATATGTTACCTAACTTAGTAGGAAATCCCTGAATAAATTTTTTATCGATTTATACTTATTTATATAATCATCAGATTTCCTCACATCTTTTATTTTTTTTAAGATTCTATTAGTATATATGTTACCTAACTTAGTAGGAAATCCCTAAATAAATTTTTTATCGTTGGATTTATACTTATTTATATAATCATCAGATTTCCTCACACCTTTTAATTTTTTTGAGATTTTATTAGTATATATGTTACCTAACTTAGTAGGAAATCCCTGAATAAATTTTATATCGTTGGATTTATACTTATTTATATAATCATCAGATTTCCACACATCTTTTAATTTTTTTGAGATTCTATTAGTATATATAAGTTACCTAACTTAGTAGGAAATCCCTGAATAAATTTTTTATCGTTGTTTATACTTATTTATATAATCATCAGATTTCCTCACATCTTTTAATTTTTTTGAAATTCTATTAGTATATATAAGTTACCTAACTTAGTAGGAAATCCCTTAATAAATTTTTTATCGTTGGATTAATACTTATTGCAATGTTACATATTTATTAGCATTAAAGGATATATTTTTATTTTATTAAATAATATTAATTTCACAAATAAATATATAATCTTATAATACATTATTTATATGGGTATCATTTAGTATAAATATACGAATAACGTTAAATACAGAAAAAAATAATTGGATATAAAATGCGCATAAATGCAATACAAAACGTTAATAAATAAATAAAAAAATCACAAAAATTGTGGATAAATACAATATAAAATTAGGCTATAAATGTAAGAACGACCATAAATATTGTAATTGGCGTATACCACTTCTGTATGACCCGACTAGAATATAAATACTTAGACTAATAGCTGTTATTTTATTGACAACATGAAAATTATTGAACAATTAATATAATTACATGACGGAGAAAAAATCGTGAAAAAAGAATATATGGCAAAAGTAGACATTGTAGTTTTAAAAAAACTTAAATGTGATTAGATTTTTTTGAATATAAATATCTTGATATTTTTTCTAAATATTCCATAGGAGTATTAATATACCCACAATAAAGAAATATATTTTCCCTAATTTTATCGTCTATTTTGTAATATATTTTTCTTCTCTCTGTAACTTTCCTTCCATCATCTAATTGTAATAATTTAAGATCTATGTCCTGTTCTATAATTTTTATAGTGTCAATAAAAAAATAAATGTTAGGATGAGAGTAAGGAAAATATTCTTTCAAAGATCTGTGGAAACCTTCGACATGATTATTTGTCCTTTCACCCCTAACATCAAATGTATTCCACATTTGGTAGTTAAATCTTGCATTACTATTAATCCAAGTATTTTCAAAATAATCTAAAAAGTCGTATATAGAATACAACCCAAAAGAATCCTAGCTTGTATTTTTAGTTCATTCATAATATATGGCACATCTCTCTCTAATAAAAACGGAATAGCCATAATTATACGGAAAAATTTTTTTACATCATTATTTTGTATATTTATCATGGTCAGACCACATTGCTTAATGCGCCTAACGATACATTGACAAAAATAGAAATAACAGCCTTTGACAAGATTGTTTGGAAAAACATTCGTTAAGGCTAAATATACGCCAATTTCAAAATCAATGGTCGCATATTTTGGGGAAAAATTTAAACCTAAAGTTAAACAATAATTTTTTAATAAATTAAACATATTTATATAAGTATTTTTGTATTTATTAGGCAATAATATATAAACATATACAATTAAGGTATGGTTAATTAAAATATTAATAGTATAAAATTGATAAAATAATTTAGGGGAGGAATTAAAAGTTCCATCCAAAAAATTTTTTTCAGCCAAACAAAGGCGTGAAAGAAGAGATCTTGTAGAAAATATTAACAATTTTTTATCATCACAACTATGAACTAAAAAATTAGTTCCAGTCATGGTAATTGTGTGCTCTTGGGTTAATATAATATCACCATTTGAAAGGGGAAGGGGGGGGGTCGTGTTAATTGAATAACACGTCCCATAATGGATTTAACTGATAAAAAGGTAGGTAACGTTTTGGGGTTTTGCATACAGAAAGGATCGAGTTTTCTGTCTCTCATAACCTTTCTGTATGTCTTTCTAATACTAATATTTTTATTTAACAGAAGTTCTGTTTTAGGCATATTGATCGTGATGAGTGTATTATATATTTCTTCACCATTATGATCAATATGCTTTTGTGTCATTATAAAATGAGTATTTAAAATCCCCCTCCCTTTACTATGTTTTGTATGGCATTTATAATATATTAATTTATCATTAATATACAAATACTTATTAGAATATAAAAAGTCATTATTATAATTTGATTTTATTAATTTATAAATTGATTTTTTAAAAAAAAGAAATCTTGAAAATTGAATGGTGATTGATCTATTTAAAAAGAAAATAAATTTTGAATATCATTGCAATTAAATTGATATAATGAATATTATTTATATTGAATTTTACATGGAATTGATGCATAATTGTTTTCACTGACAACAGCTTCTTGGGTGAGAATAGGAATATCATCTTGAATTACTTTATAATTGATATAGTAAATGTATTAATCATATTATATATACATGGAATTGATGCATAATTGATTTCACTGACAACAGCTTCTTGGGTTAGAATAGGAATATCATCTTGAATAGCTTTATAATTGATATAGTAAATGTATTAATCATATTATATATACATGGAATTGATGCATAATTTTTTTCACTGATAACAGCTTCTTGGGTTAGAATAGGAATAACATCTTGAATAGCTTTATAATTGATATAGTAAATGTATTAATCATATTATATATACATGGAATTGGTGCATAATTGTTATCACTGACAACAGCTTCTTGGGTTAGAATAGGAATAACATCTTGAATAGCTTTATAATTGATATAGTAAATGTATTAATCATATTATATATACATGGAATTGATGCATAATTGATTTCACTGACAACAGCTTATTGGGTTAGAATAGGAATATCATCTTGAATAGCTTTATAATTGATATAGTAAATGTATTAATCATATTATATTTACATGGAATTGATGCATAATTGTTTTCACTGACAACAGCTTCTTGGGTGAGAATAGGAATATCATCTTGAATAGCTTTATAATTGATATAGGGGGGGAGGGGAAATCCCCACCCCCATCGCAAATTTGACTGTTTTCATAAATATCATTTTAAGCTAATAAAAATTTTATAGCTTTATAATTGATATAGTAAATATATTGTATTTTACATGGTGAATAATTTGTAATATTTTGTAAATAAGATATAATTAATGTATTACTTTGACACCCAATACTTGCATATGAAATGGAAGCTTTAATAAAGAGGTAAATAATGTTAAAGGATGATATAAATAGGTTTTACTTTGGCATCCTACAGAAAAATAATTTTTTTGAAGGCAGATTGCATCTATAATATATTAATATAAAATTTATCTATAATTAATATACTCGTGCACTCTTTGGACATAGTAAATAAATTGTTCTTAACAATCCAGCATCCAAGGCATGGTTTATTTGTGCATGTAAAGTAAGCAGTGAAGCTATTATAGTCTTTATGCTTTTTAAAGTGATTAGGCATAGCCATCTATATAAATATAATTAAGTAATTATAATAGCATAAAATATCTCCATGTCATATTTAATTAATAGTTTTAAAAAAATTGGTTACCTTTATACTTCCTATTTATATAAACTCAAAGTATTATGCTGGGTTGATTATTGAAAAATGGTATTTAGCTTGTAAATTCAATTTCACCTTTTCGTAAAGCGACAAATACGGGACGATACGTAATTTTTAAGCTAACAAATATGACATTAACTTTGATATTTGGCAATTAAACTAAAATTTATTCAAAAATGTCCCTAATTTATCATGTTCCATATTTTCCTCTGCCTATTTTTTTTATCAAATTTCATTTTATTAAACTTTCTTTTCTTTCATTTAATAGAATTTGGAATAATCGTTAATCTGTTTTTTTAAGTAAAGGCAGCTACTCAGCCTTTATATTTCTTCTTTGAATAAAGGTAACCCCAGGTTGTGCGCATATTATAGCGTTGAAGAATTTTATAGACACAAATTAGACATTGATAACAAAGTTATTATTATCTTGTATTATTTTATTTTCGTTTATTAGACTCCTCAGTTCTCACTATACAAATTATATCATCAGTATATTAACCCGAATATTAAATATTTATAAATACAGGAAAATCAAGACAATTCATGTCATAATTTGTCACTAAATGTTATCCAATTATGAAACTTTCTACAAATACTTTTGTTACATCATCTTTATTCGACTTATTTTCTTTTTTGACAATCCATTTTGTACACAGATGCTATCTAATAAGTATAAATCAGGAATCTTTTCATTTAAATTTGTAGTCATGTTTTTAGCTTTATTTTAAATGGATGGGAAAAAAATATTGGTATCAATCATTTTCCAAGCTCATAGTTTAGTTGAAGGTATAACTAGAACTGCAACATTATTTCAAAAATTTCCAAATTAAAGCGTATTTAACATCTTAAATTTGCACAGATTCTCAACCAAAGATTAAATTAATGATAGGTTAACCTCAAGCAATTTATTACTCATACACTATAATGCACTTACGGTGGTGAGTAAGCTCTTTTCCTCATAAAATCATCTAAGGGTTTTTTCAATTACACTTTTCATCTATTATTTGAATCCTGCGTAGCTTACTTTGGCGAAATAAATTATCTAAAAGGATAGAGCATCCATTTTATTTGAGTCGAAATCAGCTTATCTCTTATGTACTATATATTTTCAACTTTCTTTGTTTGCCAACTATATCCTTTTTTAAAATATTAAATTCCTAACTTTACCTAGAATAAATTAATAACTTTATTAACAATTGTCTTTAACATAAAAATATTGAAGAAACTCTTCTCTTGGATTTTGATTTATCGAAAAGATTTAGTTTCTTTTTCTACGTTAGCTTCTAAAAATAGCCAATATAATTCTTATCATCTTAAGGATATTTTTATGTTTTAAATTTCCATTAAGATTGCCAAGTATCCCATTATGGTTTGATCGTTTGCTAGGATATGTTTTTACCTAAAAACTGTGTTATCTCAAATATTTGTTTTCCCATAAATATTATTGCGAATTTATCAAATTTTCCATTTAATATTTTAAAACTAATTCAATTATAAAATAATATATAAAATTGTAAATAAATCAATTGACTTTGATTCAAACGGATGTGCTCTTTTTTGAAAAAAATGGGGAAAACCCCCATAAAAATGTCAATATTGAAATGATAATCCCCAAGAAATGATGAATATGATAAAATGCTAAAAAAGAAAATATAATTAAAAATATCCATCAATATATAAAATATATGAATTAGAAAAAAGTAAACTAAAAAAATATGTTTTTTCTATTCGGCATCTTTTTCCGTTTTTTCTTCTGATCTGCCTCAAAATCGACATTTTCTCGTGGCCTCATTGACAAAATTCCCACTTGGTCTTATAGTCAGTCCGCCCTTGGGTTTATATAGCTATAATATTTTTTAATAATTTATATCCGCTCTTAAATATTTTTCATTTACTATTTGCGTTATTTTCCATTTATTACTTAAAATTATATCAATTTATCAGTTGGAAAATAATATAATGGACCATTTAATATTAACTGCGCATATTTTCAATTTCCCTTTGAAACAATTCGACAAAATAGAATAACGCAATACATTCCGGACGGGCTGTAAAATAATTTTATATTTTCAAATCCGAGCTGGGCCTAAACTGTTGGCATATGCGGGTCTCTGATTACGATTACTGAATTAAAAGTTTTAAAAAAATATATAATATACAAATAAAAGAGTAAATTGACGAATATTCAGAAGTAAAAGTATCATCAAAATAATTTCCATATAGTATATAATGATTATGTGGGGGGGGGGGGCTTATCATTGTTGTTTTATAAAGATCTTGTCAAAAATTCTTCCCAAAATTGTTTGCATAATTATTTAGTTGTTCTATCTACAATACTTTTTTTCAAAATAATTTTATAGGAAAATAATAGTTTAAAAATAAATTTTCATTTGGATTTACTCTTCAAATTTTATAAACTACGCATTAAATAGAAGAGCAATGGTTATAAATAACAATAAAAAAGGAGGGCAAAAATAAAAGAAAATATTTGGCTGTTAATTTATCTCTAGCATTTTGTATTCGAAATGTAGAAATAATATGTCAGTGTTTTCGGGGTCAGTATTAAATTTTCAGTTTCGAAATTTAAAATTACTAACAGAGATGGACTCAGATGCCATTTTTTTTGACATAACTTATCGATACCAAGTTATTTTGGAAGTGAAATATAATCCAAATAAAAACTTGTTTTTTTTGAAAATTTTTAATATAAGATTTTTTCCGAGATGTTTTATTATTAATTTAAGTCATGAGGCAGTGTCCTGATTTGGCTTATTACTAAACAGCCGGCTATTTGGCTTCGACTAAACGCCTAAATATAAAAGAAATTTTTTTTAAAAAACGAGAAAAAAAAATAACATTGCCACCAAAATTTTTAAAACAAACTAAAATAGGGTGTCCTAGTTAAAAGCTGTTATCGTAGGGGAGCCTAGTTCAAAAGCTGTTGCTTAGGCTAAACCAGGATAGAATGCTTTCAAATTTTAGTGGAGATTGCCGTGCAAAGGCTTTTGACGGCGGCCCGTGATGAAAATAAATTTGGTGCCTTTTAAAGGAACCTTCCAAAGCTCAAGAAAAGTTATAAAATAACTAACTTCATCATTTTTTAAAATGAGAATTATGAATAAACAGCTTGGAATATGATAGGAAATGTTTGTAATGCCATAAACAGTTTTAAAAAAATTCGTTTTTTCAAAGTTCATTTACAAAAAAAATAACGCGTTCAAATTGATAACAATTTTTGTTTTTATTTCAAATTTTCTGGGTAAACAATCACACTCTTCTAAATTGTTGACTAATTCATTTTCAAAAAAGCGAGATTTCAGAATTCATATTTTGTCCTAAAGCTTCTTCAATTCTATGGTTTTCTACCGATTTCTTTAAATATGATTTGTTAATTTTTGAAAAAAATTCGGGCCTTATTTATCCTAGGAATATCGGATTCAGGTGTATAAACATTTATAAAATTACCACTTCGTAGACTGCATTATTCGAAAGCTTACTGGAAAATATCAATAGGACTTATAAATTATAGAAATAAAGGAGAGTTGTTTAAATCAGTGTACAAAAATATCTTAAAATTTTTTTATAGATCTTTTAAGAAGATCAAAATGATTTTTAAAATAGATTTATAATTTTATCGCGAAAGATTTGTCTTGCATAAAAATCAAAAGATTTGCTTATAAAAGATTTTTTCAGAAAAAATATTTGAAATTTTAGGTAAAATTTGATTTAAAAAAACTTGTATGTGCACTTTCAAAGAAATCTTCTATAAAAGATTTTTTATTTTAAAAAGCATTTCAAACTGGTAAAAAATGTAAATCTGGACATAGTTAAAAATTCCTAAGCCTAAAATTGAAATTTGTTGTTTTTTTTTCAAATCTGGCCCGGACCTTAAAATTCGACTTCTGCAGGTCCCTCTGTTGAATATTATAATGTAAAATATATCACAATACGAACGAATATAATCTGGGTCATATTTATTTTTATATCAAAAATTAATTATAACAATGAATTTATTTTACAGCTAATATTATTAAAATAATTGATAAAAAATATATTTAGTTGGGAAATCAATTGAAATTAATGGGAAAAAAATTGTAGGTTACCAGTAAATCTATTAAAATACCGAATATTACTGAAATTTTACGCTGAATCCTAAGATATTGACATATTATTTTTACTGGTAAAATTAATAAAATACCAATCATATTGTTATATTGAAAAATATTTTTTTAAGAATGGCAGCATTTCGAAAGAAATAAATAACAGTCATAATTATGATTTAAGAGATTTTTCATATGAAAATTAGTTGGGGTCACGGTCCGGTCTTTGGTCCGGACGGATGTAGTCGGACCTGATAGGATCACTCTCTTTAAAAAGATAGGTCCAGGACCGGCCTTGTTTATTGGGACTGTAAGTAAAATTCTTCTTTGACAAACTCATGGGTCTCATATTGCAAAATAAAAATGAACTAATAATTCACAAAACGTCTCTAGAAAAGTAACAAAATAAAATATAAATTAATTGAATAGTTAGCAAACTTAAATATTAATGAAAGACCGGTTCGGGCTACGGTCTAAACCATAAAAAATAAAAAGACTAATCCGGACTGTGGTTTTCAATTAAGATATGTCCGATTCCGGTCTACCTTCACTTGAAAATATAAATTATAAATATATTTTTATAATTAAATAACAATACATGGGATTAAATATTGTAAAATTATATTTTCTTAGCCTAATTATTAGAGGTTTTAATTATGTATTATTAGATAAAATGATATTATATTATAGTAATTTAATTTTAATAGCTTATTTTATATAGTGTAAAAAAATAAATTAAAACTTTACCTGAAAAGTTTGCAATTTACCTAGGCTTTTATTGCCTCAAACTATA